GGGAATCGAACCCGGGACCTCTCGGCATAGTAGTCCGTTCTGAACCACTACACCAAACGGCCGACAAGTCATATACCCATTTACCTAACACCCTGTATATTAATCACGACGAAAAACGGTACAATAAAATTTAAAAAAAAATTACATGTAACGTGGGGATGATTTTTTGTTCATCTTCCACCCCATTGTGTGGGGTATTATTGGATAAGCCTTTTAAAATGGCTTAGGGGTTTCAAAGATGATTTTTCGAGTTTAAAGCGCCAATTTTTATTCGAGTAGGGCGTCACCCCACCCTCCAAAAACGAAAATTAATGTTGGCTTGAAAAATCTGAAAAAAATCGTGATAATATTAATGTTTTTTGTGAACTTTCAAGGAAAACTATAGCGGTTAAGATAGATCAGTTAGTTTAAGACTAATAGTCGTTTTACTCATGTGTTATAAAAAAATCTCATACCTAATAAAAAGATTAAAAGTTACTTTAGATGAAGTAATTGCTTGCTTCTGAAATATATTGTTTTAACGACGGACGACTACGGAACCCTACACTGCGCGTGTCACGACAGGCACTTCGCAATTTTTTTATTTATCTGTAAGACGGGCACATAAAAAATACAAACAATTTTTATGCAGTCACATAAAAAAAAATTAAAAATTAAGAGCTATATTGGTATACTTAGAAGTGCCCTGAACTGTACTGTACCTGTACTGCACTTCAATAAATCTCAGGCTTAAAGTTAAATGTGAATCGACCTACGTATTATAAGCGTCGTTTAAGAATAAAAGTCTAAGAAACAGAAATGTAAGTTTTCACAGATGTTACTCGACATCCAACAAATTTGCCAAAATACTATGAATTTAATTTATTTAGCACTATTAAGACTGGGTCAATTTGATCGTTATTAAAATTTTATAGCGAATAGAGTGGCTTCTCAAACTAAATTTTTAATAAACAACTTGAAAAAATCGAACTGCCTAAGTAAATCGCGGCAAACGGAAGGTCGTGGGTACGAGTCCCACCTTAGGCAGATCGATTTTTTCAAGTTGTTTATTTAAAATTGAGTCAATTTTTTATAAAAAAAAAAGTATAAGTAGCTATATGAAAAATAAGTTCAGTAACTGTAAACTCTGTAGTTCAATTTTTTATACCGTCAATTATTGTTTGTTGATGAAATGTAACAACAACAACGCGAAAAAATAATTTCTTTTGAAATAATATTTATTTTGAATTGTGCAAAGTAGGTACGAAGTGTTGGTTGTAAAGAAGCTTGCCTCCATATTAATGAACATCATGAATTAATGAGGCTACAACGATTTATTTCTAAATATAACACATAAATGTATATATTATATACTCACTCTTAGCTCGGGCCTTCATTATTGGAGAATTCAACTTCGTTCGCCCGGGCAACATTGCTTTATCAAAATAAAAACATGATTTAATGAAACCCACATAAGACTTCATTTTCTAATAAACTAATCACTGATCTGTCAGTCAGTCTCTGGTAGTAAGTATGTACTATGTTATCACGTTTTGTCTTCCACTCTTTCCGTGAGACGACTTAGGGACATCAGTACCTCTAGCATGAACCACTTTCGTCTTCGAATTGTTTGCGTATTCAATACTCAATCTTCGACTTAAACGATAATGTGACAATTTATTTTGATTCTCAAAATAAGTTCGTGCAACCACATCTCATACTAAGTTCACTTTACGACACGTTCACAAGGGCGATGTTGTAGTTTTCTTACTAAATCTTTTGATAGCGATTCGAGTACGGAAACGATTTGAACTCGAAAGTTTTTCGTGCCAGCCGTACTGTACGAGCTATCGTACACTATTACTTGCACATTTCTTTTTATACGGGGTGTTTATTTCAATCGTCGCCATATTTGGGGAGTTGATTAAGTAGCTTATTCTGATCACGAATCAGTAAAAAAATTGACATCGAAAAAATTTTTAAACAAACTAACTTTAGTTAGTCAAAGACCAAACTAAAATACCAATTTTACACTACCTACTTTACGTGGCTTCCTTCAGTAGGCTATCCGAAATATTAAGCGAGCGATCCGCGTAGCTTGATGACGCCGCAGTGTAAACGTATTGCAGTATTGCGAGCCACAGTACAGTTGATGTCGCACGGAAAATATTCGCTAAAAATTCCACTTTCGTTTGTTATATTTTTTGGTGGATAATGCGTTTATATAAGTCATAATGATCACCTTAATATATGACGAGGATTGAAATCAACATCCTGTATAGTCATATTTTATTGCTAAGTAGGCGTCAAACAGCTTACGTATAAGTTTGGTTTGAACTATACTCAACATCAAATAAATCGCACCTTACGCGACGCGAACTTTAACGATTTTCTTCTGACACAATCATGGTACCCCAACAATATTGGTGTTATTTGAAAGGCCAATAAATATCCTTAAAGAAAAACAGATTTACTTTCTTAATAAATGATTAACATATACCATAAATGTGACTTGAAAAAATACCTCACTTTGGGCCCACCTATGGGATCAATTAGACCAATTTTTATGGTTATAACAACAAATAATGATTTCACGTGTCCTCTTTAACAGATGGATAGCAATTAAACCCAACTTAACAGTTTTCTAGCCATAAAAGTTGGCTCTAGCGTAACTACCTATTTTTTGAAGAAGTGACTCTGGATTCTTCTAAGGACACATTTTTGGGGTAAAAACCTTTCCTTTAATGAAATAAAGGTTAGAACTAGGCTTTTAAATGGTACCAATATTGGTGGGAAGTGGGGATGCATACGTTTGAAAATGCTAGTCGCGGGAGGTGCGATTTATTTGACGTCGAGTGTAGTTTCAATTCACGCCTATAAAATCCCTCAGTAATAATAAATTAGTGTATGAGCTGCACTAAAACGGGTCGGTTTTATTTAACACTCTTCGGAGTAACTCATGAAGAGGGATAGCAACTATTACAACATCAATGCAAACACTATGTCTCCCAAACCCGTCTATCTAACGTGGAATGTTTGACAAGTCTAAGGCTGGGTTGCACCATCTTACTTTAACTGTAACAAACGTTAAAAACCTGTCAAACACCATACAAAATACACCGGTCGTCGTCATAGTTATCCTTAAAGTTAGATGGTGCAACTCAGCCTTAGTCAAAAACTTCAAACGCAAATCATGTCTACGCATTTTTTGCAAGTAACATTGCGTCGTTCATATTGCAATTTGTTCTATGTCAAAAATGACAAGTTTACAGGAGAGTAAAAAAAAACAGCGTACGGGAAAAAATCTTTTAAGACACCAAAATGGTTTTTAACTACTGTTTTCTAAGCATTTTGTTCTTTTTAATATAAATATAAAAGTCTCCATAAATAATAAATATTTTGTAAGATTTGTTTTTGAATTTTTTGACATTGAACAAATTGCAATATGAACGACGATTGTACATTTTGTTGAAGCCCCAAAAATTAGTTTCAATTGTGGACGTCTTAGGCTGAGTTGCACCACCTAACTTTGACCGTAACTATGACGATAATCGGTGTCTTTTGTATGGAGTTTGACAGATTTTTGACGTTTGTCAAAGTTAAAGTAAGATGGCGCAACCCAGCCTTAATAGTTTTACTATTACCACACTATTACTAGTTTCACCTATTTGGTATGAGTAACTAGGTACAGTTGCCGATTTTGAGTAGGCACACATCCAGATAAGCATTGCGTTTAATGCTTATAATGTGATTAAAAAAAAACAGTTATCTTCCAAAAATAATATAAAAATTTACACTCAATTTTAATTTCGTTTCTATGACACTTTGGGACAGAGTTATATTTTTCTAGGCCTTAAGTCCTCAAACATTTGATGAAACACATTTTTTATGGAACAGCAAGGTACTACGAGTAAGGGTGAGGCCCAATGAGGATCATTTCGATTTTGAGCTGTGAATGCAGATTTATAGGGCTAAGAAATCCTTAATACACAGTCCAAAAATTTTTTTTCTACGACAAAAATTGACGAAGTTATGGCCAAATTACTAAAAAAGTTCACTGACCGCCCGGCGCGGGGACGATGACGTCACTATATCCGATCCGAACGCTGCCGGCGTACTGCGTGGATAGAAAATATTTTTTTCTAGCCAAACTATCAGTTTTAGAGAAAAACTTGTAATGACATTTATTCATCAGAATAAAGTAAGTAATTTTTAAAAATAGAAATTGTGAAAAATGACGCAAAAAATCCATACGCTCATACGATTCAATGTAACGCAGAGACGCGATTGGGGTCTCCGCGGTGGTATATTTGGCAATTTATTCAAATAAGGTGTTCATAAGTATTGTTAGAGTCATATCTTCTTCCAAGTAAAATATAAAAATGTATAAACTGATCATAAAATGTTTTTCCAATTGCTCAAGCTCCCGAGGATCTACCGATAGGTCGGGTGACGTAATCTTGAAATTCTTTTAGCCGGCGCGGAACTTCCGGAAGGTCGGGTGACGCCACGCCTCTTTGAACCGTGTTTACTTTGGCAGTTATATTCTATATTTATTCGATTCTAAAATATATTCCCAAAAATTTTGAAAGTTGTTTTAATTTGTATCACTTGGATATGATTTGTATTAGAAAGTGCTGTGAGTGTGACGCTTGAACGGAAGGAAGTCAACCTAACCTAACCAACTGCGTATTTCTAAACTGCGTATTTCTATACTGTGTAGCCGCGAGAGCTCTTTGGCGCGCTGTCTTCGGCGAAGTATTGCGCGCGCAGATTTTGACAGCGCGAAATACCTACTTTAGCAGAAATACCAAGCCTTAATATCTTCGTAAGTAATGGTCCGATTTGGATAATTCAAAAAGATATATCTTTCTTATGTCTTAAAGATTAACGTAGATACTAGTTTTATTGAATTTTCTACAACAGTACTGATCCTCATTAGTCCGTTGCGCTGCGTCGCGTCATAAAAACTATATAGAACCCTAACTACTAATCAATAAATAAATTGTACAGGTACTTACGCGGTGGGTGCCGATTGCTCTTGATCCCTGAGTTAGTACGTGGAGGCGGGGGAATACGCGGGACAGCTAAATAGGACAAAATAAATAATTAAATAATGACAAACTCACTTGCCAACTATTAAATATTAAGGCTGAGTTGCACCACCTAACTTTGACCGTAACTATAACTATAACCGGTGTTTTATGTATGGAGTTTGATAGATTTTTGACGTTTGCCAATGTTAAAATAAGGTGGTGCAACCCAGCCTAAGAGTAAAAACAATTTTCAACACAACATGCAAAGCTGGGCAAAAGACAGTTACACCGTCATCCTGTAATAAAACAGTTACAGATAGTAGTAACAATTTATATTAGGAGTTAATTAACGATTACCTTTAACTTCGGAAATTAATAAAGAATTGTAAATCTTAAACTAATACCATAATGAATATTTTAAGAAACTTACGACGTCGGGTGGTGCTTGTTGTGGTCGAGGGAAGCATACTAGCAAAGGCTTCTATTGAAGTACCTTTAACAAAAATAAACAATATTTCATCATACACTAAGGCTGAGTTGCACCACCTAACTTTGACCGTAAGTAACGTTAGCCGGTGTTTTTGTATGGAGTTTGACAGATTTTTGACGTTTGTCAAAGTTAAAGTAAGATGGTGGAACCCAGCCTAACTGTGCCCGCGTCGTAAGCGTGAAAATAGTTTGAATAATATTTCCGTTTGTGCAACATTTTCCTTTACTGCTCCGCCCATTTTTTCTTTACTGCTTTGGGTTATCTAACACAAAACGAATTTATGAAATCGGACTAGTAGTTCCTGAGATTAGAGCATTCAAACAAACTCTTCAGCTTTATAAGGTTAGTAAGTTTATTAATTGAATAAAAAAATGAGTTATGTGTAATAATCTTTCCTTCTTTCTAATTTTGAAGCACGGATGTTTTTTGAAACACCAAAATAGTAAAGTAGTCAAAAAATTGAATAAGTCTAACATAGATAACAATCTCCTGGAAATTCTGAACCTTAGCTCGGTTGGATTTTCAAACAGATGTCCCGTTTACTATATTATTTTTCTCCATAGAATATGTGCAGAGATAGATTTGAAACGATCAGGCTTAACTAGTTTGTATGTGTACTCGTACCTACATTTGTTAAGAACTGAAACTTACTAGTATTTGTAGAGCGAGCCGGGGCCATAGTTGACACACCTCCTTTAACAAAAGAAAGACAGTTAAAGTAACGGAAAAAATCCAAAAATGCGCATACGCATCACTAACTAAACAAAATACAAAGTCCGCGCGCTGAACACGATAAGGGAGCGTCCATTTAATTACGTGAGACAATTATAGTTATTTTTCAACCCCCCCTCCCCCCTTGATGAAAGTTAGTGAGATTTTTCTAATCTCACGAGAGATTTTTCAAAAATAATAAATGCTAGGTAATTTAGTTAATCTCTTAACGTAACATAATATCAATCACAATAAGATCCAACTTACGGTTGTGGGTGGTAACGGTCGTCATAGCCGTTGTAGTCCTCGGAGCCAAATTCCTCAGGTGCGGGTACTCTTCACCGAAATTCACGACAGTCGCCTCTTCAAGAGAAAATATAATAATAAGGCCTGGTTCAGACAGAGATAATTGCGCGGTTGCTGGCACAGATATAGATAATTATACATATCTGTGGTTGCTGGGCAGTTCTCGTACATTTCACATTAAATCGTAAACGCACGGGGGTGCCATTAAATTTTCTTTCTCTTTTACACTTATATCAAGAGAATAAGAGAGACAAGGTAATACTTATTCTTACTTATGGAGAGACACTGAGATCAAATATACATTTCTATAATAATCTAAGGAGCTAATTGGTAGCTAAAACCTTAAAAAATAGGTTATTCAGAACGTTAAAATAGTATGAGATAGGTATTATGTAATACAAACATTTAAGTAAAGATAAATGTGAAATACTTACGGGTGCGGCGGCGGGATCGACCTGAGAAAAAAGCAAAATTTATTAATACATTAATAAATTTTAATAGTGTTCGTTTTGTTACAGACGGACAACAAAGTGACTCTATAAGGTTTCCTTTTGAGGTACAAACGAACTATTTTATGAGTAAAAATAAATAATTATAATAAAATCGAAATTTAACATCTTAATCAACTTACTTATCCTCCGTTGGACTCCAGATGGAGTCTCGGAGCTGATTCCGCCAGGGGTTGCTAAAGACAAAGAAAATTGTGATTTAATAACTACAAAAATACTAATAAATATTTGTTATTTGGCCTACCTAGCTATAAGTTAGTAAGGCAGAAGTAATACTAAACTGGTGTATAGAGGGTGGAATTTTGTAATGCCACCTGGAGGGAAAGTACTCTTAATACTGCAGATAGAAAATTTTACTCAAAGAAAACATTCCTTCATTTAGGAAAAGAAATAGAATTGCATTCAAAAATTTCTAAAAATTTACTTGCCACACCCGGGAATCGAACCAAAATTTGTTAAAAATTACACCCTGTATTTTTATTGCATCGATCGTTAGGGTTAGTATAAGGATGAAATCTCTAACAAAAAACTTGATAAATCAAATGAAAGGAAAACCATGAAATCTTAAATTATTTTAATTATTTACAGAAAATTGTATGGTATGGTGGTGAATTTTCGAAAATTTAAGAAAATCTTTGAATGCAGTTCTATTTCTTCTCCTAAATTAAGGAATGTTTCCTTTGAGTAAAATTTTTTAGAGTACTTCCTTCCAGGTGGCATTACAAAATTTCACACTGTATTGTACTTCTAAATATATAATATACGAGGGGCGGCTGATAATTCCGCGGCCTAAGGTACTTGGCGATGAGTAATTAGCATATTACTTATGTCACTAGTTGCGACACTCAGTAGTATTTTATAAAGCAATCACTAATTAAGTTTGCACTGATAGTTCAATTTCTATCGAACAAATGACATCACACACAATCTGGAGATTTGCGGAATTTCGACACCGCGCGCCGCGGACATAATTCCTCGTAAAGAAGGAAAATAGACCGAAAGACATTTTTGAAGAGATGTCATTGGTTCTTCAGGATTCTGGACCTTCATATACTATGGTTAAAAAATGGGCCCGACTATTTCAACACGGACGAGAGACCTGTGAAAACGACCCCCGCCCTGTCACGATACTGAGTGAAGGAAACGTTCAAAAGTCGAAAAAATCGTTCCGGCTGACCAAAGAATTAAATCGTGGCAGATAGCTGAAGAATATTTCTTTATGTTCGCGAGGCTATTGTACAGAAATGACGTGGGAAACTGACNACAAAATATTTATCTAAAAGTAGGTTTTACTAACTCTTCGAAAAAAATCGATAGATAAATCGCTATGGTTTAGTTATGTGACATCTCTAAATCTTTCAAACTCGAAACGTCATACGGATCATCTTAGGTGAAAAAGACTTTAACGCACAGCCAGCCCAGCCCAAACCACTGGGCGGATCGGGCTAAAAAGCATGCAGGTAGATGTTATGACGTAGGCATCCGCTAAGAAAGGATTTTACGAAATCAAACGGGATCCAAGCGTACGAAGTCGCGAGCGGCCGCTAGTTAAACTATGTAAATAAAAAGTCTCCCTTACAAATCTATTACAAGTCAATTACTAATATTATAAATGCGAAAGTAACTCTGTCTGTCTTGCTTTCACGCCTAAACCACTGAACCGATTTTGATGAAATTTGGCACAGAGATAGTTTGAGTCCCGGGAAAGGACATAGGATAGTTTTTTTCCCGGTTTTTGAAACATAAAGTTGTTCTGTGACAGACAAAATTTCACGAGTGTGAAGCCGCGGGCGAAAAGCTATTTGTAAATTAGAACTTTCGTCAAATAAATATAGACTTTGTGGTATTATAAAAACGTGTAAAGGAAAAGTGAGCTTATTATTTTAATTTTCTTTAAAACGGTAACTTATAGACCTGGATATATTTTTAAGGTAATACACTATTTATTATTATTAATAATTAGCTTTCCGCCCGCGGCTTCGCCCGCGTGGAATTTTGTCTGTCACAGAAAAACAATATGGCGCGCGTATTTGCTCACCGTTTAGACCTACCCTGGACTACGACAAACATTTTAAAACCAAAATCAGCTCAATCGGCCCAGCCGTTCTCAAGTGTCAGACTAACGAACATCAATTCATTTTATAGAAGATATAACGTAAATGCGCCTATTACCGCCAGTTTAAGCTGACTTCGGATAAACATTAGAAAATTAGATATAAGACGTGGTGATAGAAAATACACTTTAATTTATTTATAACAATGATGAAGTAGTCTTTGAATTCAAGTAGTAATAATGAGTATACAATTACACAATAATTAATAAATAGCAATTTAATCTGAAAAAGCAGTTGTTTCTATTACCGACCTATAGACGAGGTGTGTTTCTATTAACGTTTTTTCTGTTTCTATTACCGACCGCTAAGAATATTGCTCTTCAATTGGGTATATTCCAAGAGGCACGGGTTCGATTCCCGCTCAGAGGCTCGGGAACCACTTGATTTTTTCAAGTTAAATTTGTTTTGCTTTTAGTTTTAGTTAAATTTGTTTTTTTTTTTTCAAGTTAATTTTTTTTATTCTTAAAAGAGAAAAGGCACGCTTCTCGAAAATAAATAAATAATCAAGCAGAAATAGTAGAATAATAAATTCCTCTATTATACTTGATGACGCGGTACCCGGTGTTCTAGTGAGTAGTGGGGGTCATTATTTAAATTGTATTTGAGTTTTAATAAAATTTATTTTTCATTTAATATTTTATTTTTAATTTGACTATAATTCTTAAATAGTTTTTGGTTGATTTTAATTGTGTGTAATTGTGTATTTTAATTTAAACTATGAACAATTGGACACTGTCTGTATAATTATTTTAAATTATTTTTTTATTATTCAAAAGATCTTAAAAAGTTACATAGTAGTTGTGATAACGCATGATTGGTTTGGTGTCATGTCATAAATGTTAGTTATATACAAAATACAGGCTTATAAGTCTTCGCAAGTGGCGTTATAGTTATGAGGCGGTAATAGAATCCACTATGAATATTACTTTATTCTATTAGCGACCGTAAAAAAAATCAGTAACAAACTAAAATATCTACTTTAATGAAGACGTGATCAGTGAAGTATCATTTTTATTAGGTTTTATTTTATATCAAATAGGTACTAATTAGAATTTAACAGGTTTTTATAAAATCTATTGCCATACATTATTAGAGATATTCTTTAATGTTCATTGCAGTTTTATGCCAAACCTATGACAATTAACGTATGGCGTTAATTGATTTAATTATGTGAAATATTCTTATGAATCGATCAAGATAATAAAATGGAGGTTAAATGCGTAATTAAAGATATAAATACTAAAATAAAAAACGTTATCAAAATTCTAACAACGCCATGGGTCGTTATTAGGAACCAAATTATTAAAAGTGTTTCTATTACCGCCCTTATTTAAAATTGTTTTTAAGCCACAAAAATACAGCGAGAGGGCTATATTGAGGGTTTATTAAGGAAACTAAAGTACGAATTAATATTGTTATGCAAAAACATGTTGGTATACTCATTTTAAATGTGTTAAAATCGCTAATTAATAACAAGGTGCACCTTAAGTAGCTGGGAGCGCGTCAGTATGAAAAGTGCGTCCGTTGCGGGCGCGTCCCATTTAATATCAAATAACTCCGTTTACTGGTTATTTACGAACACAAACTTTAATCGTTTTGATAGTCAATAAACATATCTAGATATTTTTTAGGTAACGTGTTTTCTGGAACCTGTTATGTCTTTTATGAAAGAAAGGAAAATAGGGCGGTAATAGAATACAAATTTTGGGGGGTCGTTAATAGGCGCACTTACGTTAGATAATAATGACCACAATCAACTTACTTGTTCTCCGGATCGCGCCAGTACTCGGCGTCGGTCCAGGGGATGCTAAGGACAAAGGAAATATCGTTAAAATCACTACAAAAATACTGTATACTTACTCATAAATGTATAAAACAAATAAAACTTTCGCTAGATTTCAAATTTTGATGTGGTTCCTATTAGTTGTAATTGAAAAAGGATTATTTATCCATGCAAAACGGCAACTCCATATTTGAAGATCCATTTATTTATAAAGTACCTACCTAAAACACATTTTGTTAATTTTTTTCTCTCTTCTTTTATTTTGCTCATTTTCATTTGTGTTTTCGTGTCAGATAAAGGTTTTTCTCTCACATCTTATATGATCTGAGGTTTTTCTATTTCTATTATAATAATAATCAAAACAACTTACGCATTCGTCGTGCGGTTTCGCCAGGGGATGCTAAGGACAAGAAAATGAAGATATACCTAATAACTACAAAAATGCTAATAAATATCTGAGTTTTTTCTTTAGTTGGATGGATATAGATTGTATGGCATGAGTTACATAAAGTTGGTACCTGTCATCGTTCTTAAAAATACTTTTAAAGAGTTTCTTTGTATAAATAGAACTCTCATCAAAAATTTAGATTTGTGATATTTCTTAAAAATGGATAGGTAATGGAGAAGTAAGTTTTTTAAAAAGGAAACTCGTAAAATAAGTTGAAATAGGACTTTCGTCATTCAAATTTAGATTTGTGGTTCCTTAAAACTGGGTAGGTGATGAAAAAGTGAGATCATTAATTTGTAAAGTAAATACAGGGTGTTAGCTAAATGGGTATATGAGCCGACACTAGCCCATGTTAACATGGTCATATAAATGATATGGTGAAGTCAGGATATTACTTAAAGATAAAGATACTTAAAGAAAAACATATTTAATTTCTTAATACCTAAACGATTAACATAAACGCGATATACAATAAATGTGACTTGAAAAAAGACCTCACTCTGGGATCAATTAGACCAATTTTTATGGTTATAAGGTGGGTGGACCATGGAAGGCCACTCTAACGAGTAAACGCTTTTTATTCCTTTATTAACTGGATAAATGAAAAAAACAAATTATCAAATAATAGTTTGTTTTATTGTGTACCATATAAATCACTTTTTTTTAACCTAGCTTTAATCAGTATTCATTAAACTTAAGTTTTGTTAAGCTCTTCCAAATGGCCTTGCAAGCAACACGGCTCCAAACAAGGCCAATATTATACATCAGTCGTTCAACTTAAAAATAGAGTTGTAACAATTAATATATTCGCTTTTACTAAAACTACATAATAAGCTCTTTCATTTAAGCAAAACATTAAATGCTCAATATATTTTTATCATTTATAAAAAACTCAAAGAACATTACTTGAACACCATCGTATAACTAAGAATATATTAATGGAAATTATTTAAAAACAGTAGTAATGAGTATTATATTGACATCAAATAACTTGCCAACGCGTATTATAATGAAATTAAAAACTTTTTTTTTTACCTCAAATGGCCTTCTTATGGGTCCGTTCTTTGTAAGGCCAAAATGAGTTAATATGAGTTAAAAAGTTTAATAACCCTTGTAAATAAAAATATTATAAATATAAAACATTGTTTTAACTGTAACGGTACGTATTTATAACTAAAAAGTAACTGTTCATATGTTCATGGTTTGTACATGTTCTTTGTAAGGCCCATGTACCCTAGCAAGGCCAACTGTCTAATTTTTGATGGGCCTTATAAGGAACCATTGGCTTTCCTGGGAACACTACCAATATTTTAACTTAAATCGAGGCAAAACTATTTTTTTTTCTTTAGTACCATAAACATATCCTTATACGACAATTCACAGTAAAAAAATATGAAATAATAATAGGTTATCTAACTTAAAACGTACGTTTTGCTGTGCGCGCGAATAACAATTGTAACGTCGATGACCGAAGTCTACGAAGCGTGAGATCGCACTGCCACAATAGCGGCGCGAGCGACTCGCCGCCGCATCTGTGGCCTTGAGTTTGATGGATCTTAGTGTATAGCTGAAGGAATATGTGTTTACATGTCAATAACTACGACTTTTTGATAGTTGGCCTTCAAAGGAGCGTGGCCTTCCATGGTCCACCCACCTTAAAACCAAATAATGATCTCACGTGTCCTCTTTAACAGATGGATAGCGATTAATCCCAACTTAACAGTTTTATAGCCATAATAGTTGGCTCAAGCGTAATTACCTGTTTTTTGAAGAAGTGACTCTGGATTCTTCTACAGACACATTTTTGGGGTAAAATACCTTTCCTTTAATGAAATGAAGTTTAGAACTAGGCTTTTAAATGGTGCCAATATTGGTGGGAAGTGGGCATACGTTTGAAAGCTTGTCGCGGGAGGGTCGATTTTTGTGATGACCAGTGTATTAACCTTTTATTGTTTTAAACTTTCATGGTCACTAACAGGCTGGGCATGCAGGTAGATGTTATGACGTAGGCATTAACAAAGGATTTTACGAAACTCCACCCCTAAGGAGGTAAAACGGGATCCACGCATACGAAGTCGCGGGCGGCCGCTAGTTATATTATTAGTAATAGTCAAAATAAACTTACGCGTTTGCCGAATAGTTTCAGGCATAGGACAGGTGTTCTCTCTTGCAGCTAAGGACAAAAATATGACGTTTTAATACTCCACAAAAACTACTAGTGAGACTAGTGTTATGGAACTTGTAAGCCACGGAAATTGTAAGTCTAAGATTTGTCCTTTAGTTACTAATAAAAAAAAACAAATCTATACTACTGGATCTTAACATTGAACTTCCATGGCTGAAATTAAAATGATGAAAAGATAGTAAAATACTTACGAGTTATAAAAATCGCCGTTGTGGGCACGATGGCGGGGTCTGTGGACAATTAATTTGTACATTATAGATTATACTTTAAGGTCATATCACTTATCAACCTGGAAAGGGATCAACAAGGTATCGCCTTTCGCCGCGCTGTCAACCGCGAGGCGATGCGTTTACGTTACGATGCGGAAAAGTGTGCGTTGAAGTATCTACGGAGATTCATACAAAGAATATAGACCGCCTCGTGTTGATTCGATTTTCGATCCATTGGGTGCGTGCGTTTTTTTCCTTTAGTCCTTTAAATGTGTGCGTATTTTTTAATCAAAAACTACCTATTAAATATAGCGAGGATTGAAATCAACCCTCTGTATAGTTTATTTTAAAACAATTATGAAATTATAAAAATAATTTTTAAAAACGCTAGGAAAATATAGTAGTAGTATAGTAGGAAATACGGCTCCGGCCCAATATGAACCTTTCAGCAGTAATAAGTTCCTGGAGGGTTTAAGCTACGAGATAGAGAAAAACAGTGTGAAAATAACGAACGTCGGAAATGTCCTACTGCGTGTAAAAAATAATGCTAATGGTATGTAATTTTGTATTAGACTGTATACAGGGTGACAGGGATACTCGACCTATTCCTTGAAATGGGTAATACTAGAGGTCATTAGTAGTCAAGTAGGGTCAAGTCAAAAAATTGTGTTTATTTAAAAAAAGCGCTTGGCCGAAATTTACAGTCATGGAAATAAAAAGTTAATTTACTGTAAGTACTTTTTTTTTTTCAATTTTCACTGAACATATTAATCATCATAATTTTTAATATTGTGTTCTTTTCCAGAAATTAATGGCTTGCCTAATCCTAATGTGACATGCAATAAAATCAAAAAAAAAATCAAAAATCAAAAAATATATATTCAGTTTAGACCACAAGTGGCACTTATGAACGTCAATAGAAAATAATAAAAAAAGAAAAAGGTAGCCCTTATGGGGCACTTTACATGTCTCCTTATCTTTTGGGCCCTACCAGCGCTTCGAGACAAACATATGGCAAGTGCTGAGAAGAAACGCCGTAAACGTTTTGAATTTGAATTATTCGCTCAATCTGTGAGGGGGCCCTGGTGACCTGTATTACAGGTTACCTCTGAGACCTACTTCAGGCACCAGTCTCTCACAACGATATGGGTTCGCTGGTCCAGCATTGTAATAGACCTAAGTTAATTAAGACGCATATACTGTTGTAAAGAGATGAACAAACGAACTATTTATTTATTTATCATTTGTTGCTAATGATCTCTAGTATCAAGGAAGGATTAGGTCATATTGTGTCCCTGTCACCCTGTATAACATTAAATTATACTTACGTATACACTCGGAAGACGCATCTCGATTTCCTTCATCTTGTGCTGCAACAACAAATAAAATTGTTATTATAAAGCGGCGCCTGAAAAGTGCTGGTGAGAAAGGACAAAACATAAATAAACAAATATGGTAGGAAGCTATTAATGTATTTAACATTTTCTTATTAACAGTGCTGCACTGCTAATGGTATTGATTTTACTTATATAAAATGTCAATAACTGTGCCTGCGACTTAGTACGTGTGTGAATCGCACTAATATTATAAAATTAAATGCGATAGTTTGTGAGTGTGTATGTTTGTTACTTCTTCACGTCTAAACGGCTGGAGATATTTTAATAAAATTTGGTATGGAGTTAGCTGACACCCTGGATTAACACATAGGTTTTACCACTGCGGGGCACAGCTAGTCGTTTGAATAATAACTGCCCATTGTGGAAATATTTTTCATTGATGCTCCGCTTCTGTGTGCGTCAGTGACTGACTGATTGACTGACTCACTCACTCATCAAGAAATCCCAGAAACTACAAGTGCTAGGAGTCTAAAATTTTGCATGAGGGTTCCTTTTTGTACGTTGGGAGCTCACTAAGACGGGATTTTGCAAAAATTCAACGCCTAAAAGGGTGAAAAGGGATCCAAGAGTACGAAGTCGCGGGAGGCCGCAAGTATTAGTCTACTATTGGATTTATTATAAATGTCTATAAAGTCATTAATTTTTTTCTGGCGTTAAGAGCCGCGTCTAGATCTAAATGTTTTTAAAATGACTTGAATTCGTGTGAACGTCAGAATGGCGGGTGTATGATCATAGAAATTAACAAAATAAATATGATTAATTAATACCTGAGGTGTACCTTGGTGTACCTTTAGTTATTTATTTCGTACTTCTCTAAGATGGGAGCAATTACGATTGCAAAATGAGCCACCAACCTGATATCAGGTTGGCGGGTGTATGCTGAAATTGGACGAAACAGGTAAGTTAGGGTTTTCTGTACATCACTTACCTGCGTTATTAAATGTTGCACGGCGCGGCGGTATAGCAGGCATTCGGCGACGGGGTCTGCCGACCGCTCCGCTTGTTCTTGGCATGGCGCGGGCCTCAGGAACTTGGCCCAAAGCATCATCCGCTTAAGAAAAAAAACATGACAAAATAACAATAGCACACAAAAATAACATTATATTGCATGCGAACATTAAGACACGACCATTGGTTGATATTATCAATTTCAGCATACTAATGCCAGCATATTTTTGCCCTAGTTCATTATCTTTATTTTGTACTAGCTGACCCGGCGAACTTTGTTCCGCCTTAATGGCAATAAATAAGAAGACTTTTTTTTTAAATTTCAAACGGGATAAAAAGTATCCTATGTCCTTCTCCTGGCTCTAAACTACCTCCCTGACAATTTTCAGCTAAATCGGTTCAGCCGTTCTTGAGTTATAAGTGGAGTAACTAACACGACTTTCTTTTATACAGTGTGTCCGGGCATGTAGTGATCAAACTTTAAGGGCGTAATCTGTGGACAATTTTATCGGTGAAAATACTTTAAATTTGGGGCTTGACCCATTTCTCGCATATTTACAAGGATTTAAGTTTTTAATTTTAAGTTTTCACCTCTTCCTTCAAAAACAAGTGATAGCGTGGGTAGTTTNGTAGAAAACAGACACAAGTTTCATACATTTTAAGGGAGTAAGAATGGATTTAATTAGAAATAAACATGATTTTTTTCACATCTTTTTCAGTTATTTCCCAACACAAGAAAAACCAGGTCGTTAAGGTATGTTTTATTTGCATTGTATTATTAGTATTTGAGCCATTCTACAAAACGAATGTAAATTTATTAGTCTACGTCTATTAGTTTCGACGTAATTGTTGAACAAAGATACCCCTTCCCAGCGGTTTCCATAGTAATCGGAATAGGTTGTGTGATTCTTTCAGGCAGTGCATTTTCGCATGTCGCGTGCGCTATGGAAACCGCTGGGAAGGGGTATCTTTGTTCAACAATTACGTCGAAACTAATAGACGTAGACTAATAAATTTACATTCGTTTTGTAGAATGGCTCAAATACTAATAATACAATGCAAATAAAACATACCTTAACGACCTGGTTTTTCTTGTGTTGGGAAATAACTGAAAAAGATGTGAAAAAAATCATGTTTATTTCTAATTAAATCCATTCTTACTCCCTTAAAATGTATGAAACTTGTGTCTGTTTTCTACTTCTACTATTAGATAATTTTATTGGCTATCGCATGATATAAAATATTTGCTTATTAATGTTTAGTTACCCACGCTATCACTTGTTTTTGAAGAAAGAGGTGAAAACTTAAAATTAAAAACTTAAATCCTTGTAAATATGCGAGAAATGGGTCAAGCCCCAAATTTAAAGTATTTTCACCGATAAAATTGTCCATAGATTACGCCCTTAAAGTTTGATCACTACATGCCCGGACACACTGTATATATAGATTATTTTGTTTGTAATTTAGCTACTTAGGTAGGTAGGTAATGTTTTTAAAAAACATATTTGTAAAACAACTTACCCGTGTCAATAAAGTCTCTGGCTAGTCTATAGCAACACGAATGGAGAGCACCTCTACTCTACCAGCTGTACATATAATATAACATTTAACACACATACATTCACATTAACATAAAAAAATCACGCACACACTAAAAACATTAATTCCAACAGAACAACACAGAGGCAACACAGAACAACAAAGCTTACGACACAAAAACTATACATTTACAACTAGGTAGGTATTTATGTACCTACCTACTACATAAAATATAACATACACATAATAGTAATTTACACAATACAACAAAATCTATCTACCACAACACTACTATCTACTCCTTTACCTAAATCATTTTCTTTTTTATGTAACATTAATTTGATAGTAACGGCATCAAATGCACTCTCCGAAGTACATAAAATAATTGGATTTTAGCAGATTGCTGCTCTAATCAAGGTGAAAATAAAAAAAAAAAAATTAATTTTGCTATTTTGTGAACCCCAACTCTATTTCGACAAAGACCTCTCTGTGTGAAATATTAGATTTTAGTAGTTTCTTAAAAAAATGTTTAATAAAATTTTATGACCGAAGGTAGTAGTAGTAAGGTATACGTACGTGTTTTTGTACTTACGTATGTAATCTGAAAAATAAAAAATATTATTAAGGTTCGGCCAAACCAACGCGTGCAACCAGCGTGCACGATGGCGATGGCGATCTGACCTAAACGCATTGGTTTGGCATTTACAATAAACTACTTCCTAATACTTTTAGCATAATATTTAGACTATTTCTAAAAAGAGACTGCGCAACCGACACGGCACACCAAGTTGCTATTAACCTGCTACCAGACTAGGGATATAAAGGTCATAGCAGACTTATCAACTCGGAAAGGGATCAACACCTTTCACGAGAAATTAAA